CACAGCTGAACGTTCAGAATAGTACGTAGGTGAAAAAAAAAAAAAAAAGATTTCTTATGCTAGTGCAAGCAAATGCTTGGACAAGTTTGGATGCAATTCAGTTATGGGTATGTTTTCCATAGCKGCAATATATATAAAAAGGGATAACTTACTGTTCAATAATGATAAATGATTTCAGAAGTTCCTGTGTCCATTGAAGGGACAGATTGGCTGCTTGTGAGGCAGCAGCTGAGCTTAAACCCAAAGAACTTAAAGCCCAGTATATTTAAGGTGAGCTTCCAATAAATTCCTTTTTTATTCTTATGTCATCCTGTAATTGGCAATAGTTCAGCAACCATTACCTGACCTTCTCCATACTCCCAGCAAGGGCACGTTACGAAATACAAGAGGGTGGGAACCTTACGGCCCTGGGTGGCAAGGTCTGAGGAAGTTTCCCTAATTATGCAAATCTTCTGTTTTACAATTTTTTTGATCATCAATATGCAAAATAAAGATAGCTATCTAGGTAGATACTGATAAATAAATAAGCTAAAACAACAACAAGGGTTAATTATGGCTTTTGTGTGTAACAATCAATGTTATTGCAGAAATACGTGCAGAAATAGGAGGTGCTGGTTTCAGCAAATTTGCAGCAAATTTTACTTTCATTATTTTAATTACAATTCTGTAATTTTAATTGCCACTTTATTGAAACATTCAAGTGACCAATTAGAGTTTGAAAAAAGCTGAAGTAAGCTGTCATARGATAGATGATAACCTATTGTGTATGATTTTTTTTGGCAGAATTAATTGCACTGGAAGGTTCCCATGTAGATATGTTGCTGTGCTTAATGAAGTGTGCTGGAGAGAGTTTTTGTTGGACTCTGCACTGCAGTTGTTAAGGGAGATTAAAAATAGTTGTCAGTTTTCAATCAACACTGCCCTCATGTTAATAAGCAGAACTGTGTGTGCAGTGTAATTGTATTTCCTATCAGAGTGCCTAGCAGCTTAGGTCAGAATCAATGTCACAAAACTGACAGCGTTAATTGTGGAGATATTTTGTGTCAAACTTTAATCAACAACCTTTATAAAAATAAAGGCAACAAGTCCTACTTTTTAATTCTGGTTCTGTTCAGGTGTGATTACATGTATGCCCACACTCATGATGGTCAATTACATCATATATGATGAGTGTGTTAAAAAGAGGATGGAAAGACATCAGCCTGTCCGTGTGGCTCACCATCGATAAACAGTCTGAGTGCCTTCTAGTGCCTTCTAGCCAACCTATTGAACATGCAGATGTTATCCTTCTTGTGCGGTTGCTGAGCCTAAAGCAGAGAATTTAACTGATTTGTCCAATTATATTTTATTCTGCAAATGTATCAATGACCTGATAAAGCCAGTCTTTTTTTTTGTGCAGTAAATGTGTGAATTGTCCAGGACTACTTTTCTATTTCTCCATATCTTATGTGTTTAATACCCCTACTTTTTCAACTAAAATAATCTAACTTTTGTCATACTGTATGAAACTTTAGTGATAAAAGTATTTCTTCTAACATTAGAAACTGGAGTACCATTGTGCTAGTGTTTTCTTAGAGTAACTTATACACTTAAGAATCACTTTTAATTATGCAAAACAAAATTTGACCAGCCTCRTAACCCTGTTTTTCCCAATTGTATTGGATTCTGAAAGAATCATAGAATCCATATGGTTGAAAGGGACCTCCAGAGATGATCCAGTCCAATCCCCCTGCACACGCAGGGTCACCTAGAGCATGTGGCACAGGATTAGAGACACAAAGATTATCACCATTCCTTTCTGCACTGGAATTTGAAATATCTTTTTTAAATGTAGTCAATCCTGTCATCATGAAGTGGTACCTTAGAGCATCACTTTTATAGAAAAATGTAATCTGGGAATTACATCATTATATCACAAATATTCTCATCTTTTCTATCTGCTTCTTGATAGCAAGTGTTGTTAGATCATAGATAACTCTTTTGCTAGTTGTCACTCCAGAAAAAAAAATAAATAAAATAAAATAAAACAAAACAAAACAAAACAAAACATAACAAAATGTGTGGGATTGGAAAAAAAATGTTATCCTCCTATTTACGAAAGCCAGGTTAGGTTTTCTGCCTTAGTTCTGCGAACTCTTCAGAAACTAGCCAGTAATTCTTTTAATAAGTCTAGCAGTTATAGTCCTTTTTCATTACACCGAGCCCGGCTCAAACCAAAATGTTTTGGAAAAACTAGTTTTGGCTCTAACAGATATTAAGCTTTGAGGAAAATATTGAGTTTTATATGTCCTGCTAGATAAACTATCTGGTAACCAGAACTGCACAAATTGTGAATTTCTCCCTGGATAGGTATCAACGGTGATTTGGAGGGATATATACGGAGTGATAGATAGGTAGGGAAGATTTCCCCTTCTTTTTCTCTCTCTCTCTTTTTTCTCTTTTTATCACTTCTGCAGTTTGCTTTAAATCTGTAAAAGCATGCCTCCACCATTGACAGAATGTTGTTTAGCAATGGTAGAAATCCCAAAGGTAGATTATTTTGCTCTTTTTACAGGTCTAGTTTAACATAGTCCTGTGTGCATTTTGTTTAATCTTTTTTTCTTGCTTTCGTTTGCTTTGCTGTTTAAGTATCCGTTGTCCTCATGCTCCCAGGATAGCTAAGTTAAATGTTGCAGGAACAAATGCACAGTGCAGTCCTTACATGAATCGCATTTCCTCCTTGACCCTTTGATAAATCCAGCAAATTTTGAAAAACAGACCCTGTSTCTAAGGAAATAACTATCTTTACTGATGTGCAGATTATCAGCGGGTCAGTCACTGGCTGTATCAGTGTGACATACATAGTTAGGATTTAAAAGCTGCCTGTGAGCTGCTCTGCAGACTTACTGTGTACTGATGGACTTTGCCCACGCAGTGTTTTCCTTTCATTGGTTTGAGGTTCAACATTGAATTGCAGTATGTCAGAAAGAATATAGAGAGAGTGACAGAGCATCAGTTTTCACTTGATGACGTGCAATCACAACTTCTGCCACAAAATATCAACATATCAGGTTCAGTCATGTCTTTTTACATACAAGAATGCTAATTTAATACGTGCAGAGGAAAGGATTCAGAGCTAGCAGTTCTGGTGAAACCCAGACGTTCTTCATCAGAGCACATTTCTGTCTTTTCTGTGGTCAAAGCTTAAAGCCTGTGACATGGCAAAGAATTTTTACTTCGTTTGCTGTAACTCTGTGGTTTTTTCAGTGTAGATTTGGAGATTTTCTGTCATCAGAGATGTTGTAAGTTCCCCGTGGCAGAAGTGGCACATCATTTTGCCGTGCTGAGACTTGCAGTTGTTCTTGTTTTGTGGCACTGTGTACTCAGTGAACTGGTAGTGCTCAGTTGTCAAAACTAGCAGTGAATGTGTTCAAGGATGCTAGAGCACTGAGAAGAARTGAGCATGGTGAATAATTATTTTGCTTGACATCCCTGCTAAAGAAAACGGTAGGGGCATTTTCAGGAACACTATGTTTTTAATGCATTTTTGAAAATTAGTTTTGTTTCTGTCATGTCACACATTAACAGCAGGGTGAAAAGACTCAGTTTGTTTCATACACCTAGGACAATCCACATCTTCTTGTATGTAATTCGTCAGTACACACCAGCATGGAATGTTTGATTATGATAATGGCCACACTGTATTTCTTGACATTTAAAATGATTTCAATATTTTTTGCATTGTTACATACGTACCCATAGTCTGCTGGGTTTTTGTTTTTTTAATAAACAATGTGACAAGAAGTATTGCCTGTCAGTTTAGCACACAACTATGTCTAAGTGGTTATACATTAGAAGAGAAAAACAGCAATTTAAAAATAAACTCTACCATGTAGGTATATAGCTGTCATGATAAGAAAGTGAAGACAACCGAAGAGATTGAGAAGAGAGAGGAGCTGTTTATTGAAAGTTAAAGAGCACCACAAATGAATTGTAGGCAGCTGTTAATGATTGATTATATGTAACAACTTAAAATTGATACAGCAATATTAATTATTGATATTGATAACCACTTAAAATTGACATAGCAATAAAACTTGATGTAGCAAAATTATTTTCCTATTATTGATAAGTATTTYTTTCAAACCATTTAAATCAGCAGCCTCAAATATTTTGCATTTTTATAATCTGTTTATCTAAGTAAGGGAATGATGTAATAGCATTCATGATGATAATGGCATTCATGAACTCTTAAACATCATTTCATAATTTTTATATTACTCACCAAGAGATGCCTCTTCTTGGTATAATTGAAGGTCTTGTGTCACCTAAATACTGATAAATGAAATTCAATAACATTGTAAAAAAAAAGGAGAAGAGAAAAATAATAAACATTTCTTTTCTATTAGATTTTTTTTTTCCTATTCGATCTCTTTTCTTACACCTGCAATAGTTGAACATTTTGTTCACTACTTCTTTCTGACAATGGAATAATTTGGAAGAGAGCAGAAGTTACGTGTGAAACTTTGCACAAGCATAAATCTCTTTTCTATTGAAGTCCCTTCTGCTCAGACACATAATCCATTGATTTTTACATCCACCAGCACAAACTTGCAAATACTTTCCTGTAAATGTCACTGATTTTAGTGGCTCAAAGGTGGGAAGTCTGCTTTCATGACACCCTCTGATCATAACATCAAGTCATGAATCATGATCTTATTTAAGCTGATTGATGAGCCCACTTTGTAACACAAGACAAATTCAATTTTTTATTTATAATGGCGTTAAAATATAATGTGTGATCTTGCTATTCCGATGCTATTACACTTCTGTTTTAATAAAATTTCACTAGTAAAATATGTAAATGGTTTCCTGACTTTTAGCTATTTTTAACACTTTATCTTGCAGAAGAATACTATCACTGGAGAAATTAAACATTTCCTCTTTCTTTTTGAAATTTTGACTCTTTTTTTTTCCCATGCCTACTGCTCAAATTAACTTTTTTTATTTTTCTGTTTCAGCACCACCAAAGTTTACAAGAACTCCCGTTGACCAGACAGGGGTCTCTGGAGGAGTCGCCTCTTTTATCTGTCAAGCTACAGGAGACCCAAGACCTAAAATTGTCTGGAACAAAAAGGGAAAGAAAGTCAGCAATCAGAGATTTGAGGTATTAGGTCCATTGTTCTGTTCCTCTGAAAAACATTAATTCTAACTTGCTTCTAATCCTGTGTGCTTTGTTATTAGTGATTAAGCGAATAGGGGATCGAGGGATAATTTAGCAGGAGCAGTCCTGTGAAGATTTTGTTTTGGAAACTAGTTGTGCATAGCACCATGAAAGAGAAAACTATTGCTGCCACTGTTTTCTAAATCAGCATGATCCAACTGGGGAACCTTTGCATGCTTCTGTTCTGCCTGCTATCTTTTTCATGAAGGAGATGAAGGAAAATTATTTGAGCAGTAGTTTGTGTCTCCAGAGAGTAAAATATCATCTCTTGCGACAGTCTGAGCTCAACACAGACCTGGCTTCTGCTGCCATAGCTGCTTGCCACTATTGCAGAGGTACAAGAGAGACATTAGAGTTCCTGCTGCTGAAGGGAATATGCCAAACTGGCTTGCTTTTAATTCCTTTCTCAAGAGCAGGCTTCGAAGTGGTCTTAAATAAAGCTATTTCCTCTGCATCCATGACTGTTAAAAGAAATGGTGAACATTATTTGTTCAAAGACACATTTTTTTTTCCAAGAAGAGTTATTCTGTCCTTTAGCAGCAGAAACAATTAAGATCAAATATGGGCTGACATCTGACCTGAATGAACAAAAAAGTCAAAATGGGAAAAAGCATGTAAGAGGGATATCAAAAATGGGATTAACTCTTTGTAATTTTGGCTGTGTCTCTGCTCAGTGTATTTGTGTATTTTCGATGTCAAGACACTTTTGTGTAAAGAAACTAACTGTTTGGCAAATGACTACTGCTTATTAAATGGCCTAATCCACTTAATAAGCAAATGAACTAAGAAATACATGTAAAAAGTTCACTGTAGAATTAATCTGTGTTCATTTTCAGTAGTTCAGTAGGATAGTTTGCCCTGGGGTTTAAGGCTAGCCTTGAGTGAGAAGAAAAGATCTGTATTCTGGTATAGACAAGATTTTACATTTCTTTCTGTTTAAAAAAATATTTTAATACTTTAGAAATTCTTCTGTTAATGAACAGAAACTCAATATGTTCACTATCCAGGATAATTCTATGGAATTATGCTTAATACAGTATGAGAAATAATGGCATAAATAATATTGGTTGCTAGAGCCAAGAATGATTTGCACCTTGCAGAACATATGCAGAGTTATAATTGGACAGAGGGGAGAAAATCACAGTTCTGTCATAAACTCTGTGCAATTTTTCCCATTCTGGTCACAAAATTTTCAATCAAGGTCAGCTGCAAACAGTGGAAGATTGGGCATGTGCATGTTTACTGTGTTGGTTCAGCTTTGCTTTATGGTGTGCTGTATTATTTGCTTCGTATTTTGGTTTTTTGTAACTGGATTTAGGGAGAATGAGCAAAAATAAATCCAATGGTTTTATTTCCATAAAAATATTTGAAAAACTGTAAAATATTAATATAAAATGTTTTAAAAATACCTTCAGTGTAATGCTGAACAAGCTGTACAGTCAACTAGGATGGAATGTATTTCAAAGAAATACAGAACACAAAGTATTTTATTACATTTATTATAAACACTGAGCACAATACTTACAGAGCATCCAAGTAAAGTACAGAGCACATCAACATTTTAAGCAGCTTCCTTTTCCAACTAAAATAAGGTCATTAATTCCTGCTATAGAATCTGTAAATAACAATAAATCAACATTAGAAATGAAATTCAGAATATGCGCATGCAACATTTGAGAAGTGAAAGAAAAATTCAAGAATGTCAAGTGCAGCAGTAAGTAAATAATTAGTTGTATTTCTTTTCATGTTCTCTCAGATTAATATATTCTATACACCCCTGTGTTTCATTACTTGGTGATACAGGACATTAAAAATGGTTTATCTGGCCACTGATCTTTATAAAAGCATAGTAAATAAAGATAGAAAGGACCTCAAGTATCCATTTAAAGCTATCTTCTTCTCCAGGGATTCTGGGAGTTACATGTTTGTTTTTACAAAAACAAACACCTCCCTTCCAAAGAAGGAAGGTGCCTTGCAGTTTCRTGAACCTTGACATTAAATTTTTTTTTTGGCCCTATCTATCCTACAAGAATCTCTTTTCCTGACAGAAGTAGGATTATGTGATTGTTTTATTAGCAAAAGAGGAACACAAAATTTATTCCTTCCCTCTTTACAGTGAACTATTTATGTATTTGAAATGGGCATGGGGAAGGGAATGGTAGAATGGTTTTGCTTACAGAATAGGTCTTATGGCTGCATAACATTCAGAATGGAACAGTAACCATTTAATGCATATAGATGTAGATATTTGTGTTGTGCAGATCATTTCAGGACAATGGCCTTACTTAAGCAACAAAGGAAAATAATTCATGCTCTGGCCTGTGGAACCAGATTCTGACCAGAAAACCAGATTATTATGTTACTTCCATTTAGACCTCTCTCACTCTTAAGAAGAATACAAACACTTATTAAAGTTTGTACGTGGAGGCAAAGTGCATATAGTCATAATTCCCGAATCCTGTACCCTATCTCTTAGTCTCTTAGTCTCAATGAGTTTAGAGATCTGAATAGCTCAAATGTGTGTGAAACATTTATTGTTTCTTCCTTAAACTGGTCACATGCTTTATTGTACATTTTTGGATAAAACTGTGTCCTGTGGGCTAAATGCATAGCTGAACTGAGTGAACTCCACTCTGTGGGGAGCATGAGTATAGCCTGTGACAATTAAAATGGATGTCACTGGCGAATGAAGGCAAAGGGTTGAAGTTAAGTGAAAAAAGAGGAGCTGCTGGTGAGCTTCAGGATAAAAAGCAAGAGGCATTAAGTTTTGAGCTATTTTCTTGCCACCCTTGTTGTCTTTTTTAGTCTTAGCCATTCTTGAAACTATCTTAGAGTGGAAACTGCTCTTTGAATAGCAGTATGTTACCTGGCATTGCCACATAAACATATTCCCATCTGTGCTGAATTTGTGATTATTTGCTATCTGAAAAATGACCCTGGCTTTGACATCACAAGTACTGATCGTTTTATGTTCAGGCACAGATTAACTCAGGGGTAGGCCTTTGTAACAACATCTGTGACAGCTGTTGTTTCCTTCAATAGGTAATAGAGTTTGACGATGGATCTGGATCAGTTCTTAGAATACAACCACTACGGACTCCACGAGATGAAGCTATTTATGAATGTGTTGCTTCCAATAGTGTCGGTGAAATAAGTGTGTCCACAAGACTCACTGTTTTACGTGGTAAGYCTTCTATAAATATATATATCTTTTTTGAGCTGAAAGTATTATAGTATTGCAAAAGGAGAGTTTCCCTGCATCCAGGAGAGTAAGTACATTTTTTTTTTCTTTTTTTAATGGGCTCTGTTACAGTCCTAATGCTGYTTAATATGAACTTCTTAAAGAAATTGAAAATAGGTTTCTCACTTTTCACTGTAAAATGATAGTGCCAAATGATGCTAAAGAATCTACAGAGTAGACTGAAGAATAGAAGCTATCATTTAACCAAAACAAAGCAAGAGAGAAGTAAAACAGGAGTTTGCATATAGAACAGTTATATTGAATACTTACACACTTTTTCTTCAAGGTGTAAGAAAACATTTTAAGCAATTATTTTAATATTTAAAGTAGTTTTCTCCAATGCCATGATTGTTCCCTTCTTTTATCTTTCAAAAGTTCTTCTCAGTCTAGTCAATAAAGATGACTAAAGATTGATAGTAAAGATTGATAGTTAATTTCATGTTTTAACAACACGACATAGTTATTCTTAGCCTCTTAAGACAAGTTTGTGAAATTAAGTGAAATTTAATAGTTGTCAGTTAGACATTTTGGAAATGATATAGATTAAATATAATTCAAATTATATTAAAAATTATAGTATAAAGGCATGAAATCTAAATGAATATATTCATTCATATGTATTTATAGAATATATAAATATACCTATGTACTTTCAGTATATCTAGATATAGGTTTCCTGACATCATACCTGTTTTGTAACCTATAGAGTGTACTTTGGACCCAAGATTATATTAATGTAATTATTCTGAAAGGGGTAAGAGGTTCATGAATGAATTGAGACTAGTTGATATGGAGAGGTAGGTATAACAGGACAACATAATGCATTTCTGGCAGGGTTAAAATAGAAAGAGCTATAAATACGTTKACTTGTTGCATTGATTTTCAAGACAAAAGGTACTTCAGTGGTTAAGATCTAGACCATAGGCATCTCTGCGTTAAGCTTGTACTTAGAAAGTAGTGCTGTCTAGAAGTCTCCTTCCAGAGTCTATATCCAAACCCACAAACTATTACTTCTTTTGCAGTTCTTTGCCTTTAAAGTCCATTCTGAGAATTGTGTCGGTGGAACAATGCTTTGATTCATTCAAAAATACTGAGATACTCAGTAGAGATTGAAAGACATTGGCTCTTTGTTGGCACCATGGTGCTTCTTTCATCGGCACCACAGAGCTGCTTTCCTTTTCTTGGCATTTCACTTTGATTAAAAACACCCTATGCTGTTCTTTGGTCTTCCAGACGGAGCATCACAGACTTATTTGTGGATGCAGACAAAGTATCTTGCAATAACATGTGCAAGAGTATGAATTATTCTGAAAGAAGAAGTCACCTCCTTTAACAATAACATGTTTATGCTATCAAATTTCAAGAGTCTTTTCTCTTCATTTTTAAATTATTTTTTTGAATAGTATGCTGTTGCAAAGTTCTGCATGGACTGTGAAAATCTCTGCTGTGATCTTGGCAATCTCAGCTTCAACTACCAACTGCATTGTTTCAGTATGCTCGAGGACTGCAGTATTGTAGAACAGAGGAGTGCAGGCTTCAAGGAAGGCTGGACAAGTAGAGTAAAGCAGAAAATCTGTTTATATTATGCAGTCACTGCTGTTGCCTTTTTTGTTTTGCTGTCTGCAAAGTAGAGAGCACTACATAAGTAAGGCATTTAAGCACAAAATAGTATATATTCTCAGTCCACTATTTTCTCCATTTTTGTTGATTATATTATGTACTGTACAAAAAGTTGGCATGCTGCATCTTTGTAACAAAAGCACTGCATATGAATGGAAGAATTAAAGTAAAATTTCAATGAGAGGTTCTTAGGGCAGATAATACTTTTTATATATATCTTTTTTTTTAACTGATTAATGTCCAACAGTCATTGCTACATGGAATGAAAAATGAAATATTTACTGAACAGTGTATCCCTGTCCATGGGTACAATTAGAGAAGTGTGAGGGAGATGATTTTTATTATACCCACAAAAGTACAGAATATTTCTATACTATTAAGAAAAAAAGAAAAAGGAAACGATGCACTGAACATTTTCATCTTCTGCCATCAGCAATAGATTCCATGGTAATAAATGATAATTTCTGCTTTCTTATTGTACCAACTAGAGCTAAGAGGAGAAGGACTAGTACTGTTTTTGAAGTAATCTGCTTCCTGGGTCCATGATCTCTTGGGACATGTAAATTAGATAGAAGGAGCAGTAGATGTAAATTTTAAAAATAAGTTGTAATTTACCTCTCATTTGGTTGACCAGTGAGATGAAAGATCAGTGTTCATTAGCTGCATAATAGAAAAAAAATCACTGTTTTCCAACTGGAGCTGTGTAAGCCAAATATAATGGCATTTACCTGACTTTATAGTTAAAGTGATTTTTGCTAGTGGGACGGCTAATAGGACCCTTATAAACTGATTAAATAGAAAACAATGAAGTTAAGAAAGTTCTGCATACACAGCGAAGACAGATATTTATCTGAAGTATACATAGCATAAGAAGTTTAAAGAAGCAAATGTTTTTCAAAAAACTTTCACAATTTTCAGTTCAACAGACTGTGTTATACCTTGTGACCAGAATTAGCATGTTCATTACAAAATATCTTATTAATACCTCTTTCTGTAGTTGAACACTATTGTTTCTACTCTGAAGATGGTTCTTTGCAATTTATGTAATAAATTCTCTGCTGAGGAGCTGTTCATGAAAGATTAAAAAATAAAAACATGTCTGCTTGACAGTCGCACAAAAGGAGTTTTTGCAAGAGTGAAATACAAGGAGAAACAGCCAATATATATAAAACTTACTGGCAGTTTTAGKATGGAATATGCAATACCTGAATTGACTTATAAAATAGTCAAGCAACAGAAATATTTCAGTGCAATATTATAAATTATTTTGAAATGTTTTCTGTAGTTACAGGATAAAAACATTTGCCTTCCATGCAATAAAATCTGAAACAATGAAGTGTTGGTCTATATAAAAAAGGGAGTAGGATACTCATATAAAATAAATGAAGAATATTGAGAAACAGTTACAGATTGTCTAACTGAAAAGTTCTGCCAAGAGCTTCAGATTTTTTTTTATAGCTAATACTTTTTGTATTTTCAGTCATCTCCCTGGACACAGAATTTGTTAAGTAATTTTTCCCCTAATTAGTGATTAGCTTGTTCACACATTTTTTTTCCTTAGAAATTTTCAGCTGTGTTGTTATAGAGACAAATTTTCTCTTTTTAGGCATAATATTTTATTATGAGGTACCTGCCTCAGTTAGTATAAATCTATAGGTGTATGTTAAGAAGCTTGTTCTGAAAAATATGACAGTGAGTTGAAAGAAACAAATAAAACCTCAATACCAGATATGTTGATAATGCTCAGATGCAAATCCCTGTAAGGAAATCTTTCAGAGATGATTACTTACTTTTGAAAACTAAGCATAGATTGCTAGACTTAAAAACCTTTTAAAAGTTCTCAAGAATGTACCTATATTCATCATATGACCTATAGTCATCAGAKTATTTTTGAAGAATTTGTGGCAACTTTCTCTCTTATAAGCAATAGCTCCTCTCAAGAAGTATCCTTTCAAGTGTCTAATTCTTTACGGATTATTTTAAGATGATTGTTTGTTCAGATTTATTTTGTCAATAAATATACAGAGAGAAAGTTTATTCTTATTCTGAGCTAAGTAGTTATCTCTTTGTAAGAGTTCRCTTTTCCTACCTTTTATTCTTCAGTGAATTTCAGCAGTCCCTGAATTTCATCCAACCAAGATTTCATTTTCACATATATGTACTTTTCACAAGATCAATCTAATTTTGAAATATTAGGAATAGTGTAAAAGAATTAATTCCTAACATACAGCATAACATTTTTAAATCTACCAACTGGATGGGTTATTTCTTATTTGCTCTTTTGTGTATACATATATATTTATAGATAGATAGATATAGGTATAGATATGGAATTTGAGTCTATGTGTGTGTGTTATGGAAAAAGAAAAAAAAAAAAAAGAAACTTATATGTTCCTATTCATAGATATCCGACAGTTGTGATCTAAGAAGAGGAACTGAAATAATACCAGACAAAAACACAACAGCCCTATTTAGCTTGAATGAATTCTTTACCAGGCTGTTTTTGCTAAGAATGTACACCTGTTAAATACTTTCAGATAAGAGCTCAGTGACTAATTTTAGCATGACCTCCATCTGAGTATTCCCATTCTAGGATCTAATGGCTATGTATACTGTTATAATTATTTTTGAAAACAAGGATATATATGTCTGACACTTGGAAAAGGCAAGCTAAGCTGCCCTAAACAGATCAGTTATAAAACATGTAGGTTCTTCTTAAAATATTTTTTTTTGTATGCTGGTTACCTATGATGATCAATTCTGTTTTCTTAGCCATCCCAAAATCGGTAGAAATCTGTCATGAGCAAGTCAACAGAGACCAAATAGAAATGTGTTAGCCAATGGAGGAGAAAAGTTTCTGCTGCAAGTCTGTCTTTGCAGATTAGTATTAAGACATATAAGGATGATTTCTGATCAAACTTAAAATAAAATATCCTGAAGAGTGGATCACTACTATTTGCAGTGATCTGGTTCTTCAAAAACTCTGACCCATATATGAACAGCATACAGACTTGGTATTATGAATTGCTGTTACAAGAAAAGTCAGAGGATTAACTTTATGCACAGCTGCTAGCTATTCTCGGTGAGGATAATTTTGCAAATTTCTGTGCTACAGTTTTGATATTTTGTAGCACAAATATGTGTACACATATGTAAAAGATACATATGTAAAAAAGTAAAATACATACTTAAAAAAGTAAAAAACTTTTTCCTGTTTCTACTTGCAGATAAATATTCAAATAAAGCTGCAGTCTAAATATTGAGTTGTTTTCTACTTACAAATTCAATTTCTGTTTTTTTTTCTATTTTATCTGACATAAAAATAAGTAAAATTTAATTTGGCTTAGAAAGCCCCTATGTACATAGAAAAACATGCTTACATGCATACATCTACACATCTATATATGTATAGTTATATACGTGTGTGTGTGCGTGTGTGTGCACATATGTACTTATAATTCAATTTTACATTTACATTAAGCCTTTTGTCCTGGTATAGAGTCCCTTTAGTTTGGAATAAGGACTTAAGATTATACAAGCTTTCATTATTTGTCAGCATAAAACATTGTCTTCATCAAAGCTAAATGACATTAGAAAATGTTTCTTATTTCAGTTATTTGTAGCTTAAAGTTTACATGCAACATGAACATATATACCAATATGACCACTCACTATAAAGTACACTTAAAATGTTTATTACCAGTATAGTTGTCATTACTGCGCAATGTGAAAAACTAAAGTCAGTAGTATTTTTGTGTGTGTATTTCATATGGATTAAAAAAAGCATAATTTTACAGATGTGTCTAACAAAATTATATGATCACAGCTCAAGTAGTCGCTTAATAATGTCAAATGTCTGATGTAAGGAAACTAGTGATCTTAGCATCTTTATAGGTTTCAATTCACGGTATATATTCAATTTCACAGCATTATACCTGTAGGATACTTTGTATAACATAACAAAACCAAGWTGGTTTCTGGAAAGAGATATTCATATAGTGGATCTAACTTCAGTTTTCTAAATTAATGAATGAATATGAATATGAATGTTTTATTAAATACAATACTTAGATGATAGAAATATTTGCTTAAATGTAGGAAATGCTTGACGCTAGTGTACTGAATGACAGCAAAAGTAAATTAATTCACTATGTGCTAATCTTGAAAAGCAGGAAAAATCTTGTAAGAGTGCTTCCTCATGYGAATCTTAAGAAGTAATTTAGAAATTAAAGATAGCCTATGTAATGCTACAGACTATTTGCATGACCTACTAATAGTTCATAAAATAATATGTATTAAAATAATCGTTAATTTTCTAAGATTTAACATAGGAAACACAAACAAAAAAAAGAATACAAACAGAAATATTTAAAATGTTTTTAGCAAACATAAAAAGGTTTAAAAAAATCTGAAATTCAATTCTGTTAAACCAAAAAGTGATTTTTTTTGATAGTGAAAACATATCTGAAGCAATGACTTCTAATTGATACAACAAAGAAGAAGTTGGGGGAGCAAGAGAGTGGGGAGCAAAGAAGCTTTTATGAATACTCCAAGGCTTATGTATGATATCAAATCCTATCATGATACATATCACATGAGGTATTTCAATGCCTGCTGTAAACTGACATGAAGTTTTGCAGCTGGTTTACTACAGTTCTGCATATTTTGGTACCTAAGATACATTTGTAAGTCATCACTCAGTAGCAAATGGAATTTCTTTGTTTTCACTTACAAATGGATAAATAATTATCTGAAAATTTTCCTTGTGTCTTAAATTATTGCAGTAAAATGATTTACTATAAAGCTACTATATCAGTCTGCTAGAATTTTACAGTTGCCTAGTAATAGCAGTATTTTACCACTTTGTTATATTGATTGCATCTTGTGACGTACAGTGTTACTGCATGCTTAATATGCCAAGAGCAAAACATATTAATGAGGTAGATTTTCAAGTGAAAGCATTCCAAAAAGTTTTTCAGCTTGAAATAGGACCACCAAAGGACCTGAACCCTGATTTATGATACTGTGGACTTTCATACCATAGACATCTTTTAGGAGATACAACCTTTTCTAAACAACTATTATTTTAAACAATTATTTTAAACTGCAATATAGAATGATATATAAAGGAGAGTGTTAAATATTTGGTTTCACAAATCACCTAATTTTTAGTTTAACTTTTCTGCCTGAACATGAAATAGACTTTTTAATTTTTGTGCTCATTCCGGTGCTTATTGCTTTTCGGTAACAATTCATCTGAACTAGATCCTGGAATTGTATTTATATCCCATCTACCTTCACCTTCTTTGTTACTAGAAGGTCTTTGTATATCAGAGAAACCCATGTACGCTGCTAGAAATGGCAGTTATAAAGTGTATTTTTTGTAACTGCATTTTTTATATTCTGGTTCAGAGCTCTTCTTGGCTTCCATATATTCCATTTCTTTTAGGTTTTGCATTGTCGTAGTTTCACGAAGCATGAAGTTTATTTCAATAAAACATATAATCTTGTCTTAAATGACATTATCAATGCAGCTTCTAAGATAAGAGAATCTATATACACAACTTCTACCTTAAAGCTCACAAATAGATTTATTTGGGTTTGGCTGTACAGATAAGGAAGACTATCTGGGGAATCCTCTTCATTATACCTACATCAAAATGACTTTCAGTGAAAGTGAATTGAGAACCTGAAAAGTTGCCATCCTTTTTTTTTTTTTTTTTTTAAATGCTTATGACTTTAAAATTGATTTATTGCAAGAAGATGATGACAGCTTCAGAAAACTATTAATAAGTCCCAAAGCAATCATTTGTTCCTGTGGCATGTTTCATATCACAGACTGCATTTAGAATATGTGGAAGTAAGCGGGAAAACTGTTTTCTTTGTTGGACTTCAGATAGGTCCAATTCTTAGGGTTTTTGTTTGTTTGTTTTGTTCTGATCTATTTTGTTTTATTTCCCTTGCAAAATGTTGCATCCACAAAGGAAACAAAACAAAAAAAAAATCTAAGCATTATATGTATTCATATCTTTCCAGCCTAGATTCCTAAATCTAGGTTTATTAGTAAGTTTTCCAATAGGCACTAAACCACTAAACACTTCTCACTGTTTTCTAAATCATATACTCAGATGCTTTGAAAATCTTATTTCTTACATAGTATTTCCTCAACAGAGGAATAGGTCTAAAGATATATCTTTATGTGAGATACTATTTTTGTATCTAAGTAGCTGCCTAAATCTAAGTGTCTGTGTGAGTAGGTATCCTTGAATAATCTTAGGGATAATTTTATGGCCTAATTTTATGTATTTTAAATCTATTAAGTGGTTGCAGTAAAAACATACAAAATCTCAGCCCTTTGAAGAATCTCTCTGGCCTTACTGTAAATACATGTTTCATCAGCATTCAGAATTCAGCCATTCATAAAGAAAATGATATGGGTAGAAGTGGCATTGCATGAGAAATAATGACTGGAACACCAGTTGATAAAAGATGTAGTAAGGCGGGATTTTTAGATTAAAAATGGAAATAAGGTAGAACTAAAAACCTTATGGGAACATTCATTAAGGGTATATCCTAATGTTAGAGGGAAGAACAGGAGGAAGGGTTGAAACACTGACTGAATGGATGATACTTTCATCTTCAAGAGTTAATGTAGATGTACTTAGATTCTGAAACCAACAACATCCATCTACTTTGCTTTGCAGGAAAGTGATAATTAGTTGATTGGCTTATATGAACTTTAGTGATCTGGAGATAGTGAGAAAAGTATAGTCAGAAGGCCAGATACATTCTGTTTTCTATAAATCTGGAGTAATTCAGTTTAATTTACTTCTGCCTATAAAACACAGTAGGGGAAAGCACAACCTTCCAAAACTCTAGTCATTTCTAGCTATTCAGAAAATGTGCTTTTCTTTAAAATCATGAAGTAAGCTTAAAAGATAATTAAGTTATTTTAATGATTGAAGTTTTAGGGGTTGAAGTTTTGGTCTTGTAGGACTACTTTTTTTTTTTTTTTTTTTTTTTTTAATCTAAAAAAAAAAAGTCTCTAGGTATTTCATCTAAAATGCCTATGTGATCACAGGAGTCCCTAACCTGATCTTTAAGTAAAATATCAAATTTCATTATAGTTTTTACAGATTTATAATTAAATCATGTGCAGTGCTAGCATTCCTTAGTCTAGTGGAAGACTAAATGTTTTGGAGTAACACAAGGACAGTATTTGAGCCTTATTAAGTAATCATCAGAGGTATGATAAAATTAGTTTTACATTTTCAGTATGTGTTACTAGTTTTTTTTCATTTTCATATTTTCATAATATTCATACACATTGATGATTTAGTGTCTGCTTAAAATAAACAGTGAAATGATCATGTTTCATTGAAAAAAGGGGAAAGCTGAATCTGTTAGAAACATTATTAACTATTTWACACATCAATCTTTGGATTCTGTCATCATTAAATCTAGTTTTCAAGCATTAGGTGGCAGCAGTGGTGAACTCGGAGCCAACTGAAATGGTATACTGTTTTGAGGGTTTTTTTAATTATTATTATTTTATTTTATCATCAAGGAAACTAATAACTGATTTATTATTTTTCTGCCCATTAGACACCTATTGCTAAGACAAAGATGATATGTGGAACAAGGACTGAAAGAGCAATCGATTCTTTGTCTGCCTTAACAAAAATTAGTAGAGTTTAGTTTTGGTGTGGTGACTTGAAAAACTTTCTTATGTCAAATGTATGCCCAGATTATAGTAGGACAGTCCTAGTTGTCATGCAAGGCTCTTCACAGTGTCACTCAGTGGAAAAATCCTGTAATATAGTTTAACAGAGTGAAA